CTTCCTTCCTTCCTTCCTTCCTTCCTTCCTTCCTTCCCGTTTCCTATTCTCCCCTTCCTCCCTTCCTGTTTAGAATTTAGGGCCAGACTTGCATTCTGACCCAAGGATGACTGTCCACCTGCTCGTGGCCTTTTTCACCTCATGGCTGCCCTTTCCCTTGACTTCAGCTCCCTCTGCCATTTAAAGAATCTTTAGAGGGGGAATGGGGTTAGGGACCACCTACACCACACTTTGTCTTGTTTGGTTTCTGTGCGTTTCAATTCTGGATCCTCCATTCTGGATTTCTCTTCCTTTTCTGTTCTGGCCTCATACATTTTGGGATGCATTTAAGAAAGATTTGAAACTTACCTGTTAATAATCCTAGCCAGTTGGTAGAAGTGCTTGGGAATAGATGTTGAGAGTGGAGGTTAGCAATATTTGATGATATGGCTAGCCTGTTGTAAATCTTACTAGTAACTTCAGGTGTCAGAATGTCGGGTTATAGGTGTAGAATCTTCTGCCTGCCTAAGTGTTATTTCTATGATCGTCGTGTTTCCTGAGGTGTATTGATTTTATAGTATAATTCTTACTGTTGGTTTTCGCTTAACTGATCATTGTCATGGTGGCTGGACTATGCCCCAGTGAAGCTCGTATTGTAAATAAAAGGTGTATTTTGTTGCTCTGTGACCTCAAGGCTTGGGAAGTCCCCCGAGAGAAGCCATGTTTCCTCGGAGTCGTACGAGCCAATCTCCCCACCCCAGGCTCCGGCGGTGCATGAGAAACAAGAGAACTTCCTGTTGCTGTCGCAGAGATCAGAGCCTTCGGAACAGAGGTACCAGAGCTGGGTTCAAAAAGGATGTGTGGGTCAGCTGGTGTGCTCTGCAGGGATGTTTCCAAGGAGGTGTTTGGGATGGGCACGTAGATCCTGCAGCTGATAGAAAAGACCCAGAGGTTCATTCCTCCCTAAGCTGGAAAATGTGGCCCCAGATGGTCCTCCCTGTTGTGCCAGACTTGGTCATCTAAGAGGTTCAGCAACCTGAGAAATTGGGCAGCCTGGAACAAATCGCGGGCAGTGTTCGGTTGTCTCCTCCACCGGGGGCAAGAGTTCTGGGAGGTGGCACTGACTGTAGCTGCTCGTCCTGATCTTTGGTCAGTCCTACTCCTTAGAAACATATCGAGCCCGTACCACCTTTCTGTCTTCCGTGTTTGTCTTCTAAGTCATTGGGAGTTGCGGATGGTTTGATCATTCATTCATTCATTCATTCATTTTGATCATTTGTTTGTTTGTTTGCTTATTAAATTTATATGCTGCCCATCTCCCCAAGAGGAAGACTCTGGGCAGCTCACAATTAAAATCAAACATCAGAAACAGTAAAAAATACAAATATCCACATTAAATTAGCTAAAAAAATTCATACGATATAAAAAGTCTATATACATAGAAAGACTATAAAATTCAAGATGACAGGGGGAAGGTAGAATCAATTACCCCACGAGCCAATTCCAACGATGCGAGCCCCCGTCCGGCCCCAGGCCATCTGGCATAGCCAAGATCTCACACTCTTCCTGAAGGCCAGGAGAGCAGGGGCGCACCGCACCTCGCGTGGTAAATTGTTCCGCAGGGCAGGGGCCATGGCAGAAAAGGCCCTCTTCCCAGACCCCGCCAGTCGAAATGCCGTGACTGGTGGGGTCTGCAACACACCCCTTCTGCCGGACTGAGTGGGGTGGGCAGATATAGCAGGGGCGAGGCAGCTCCTCAGAGAACCATAATCATGATGGCTAAGTTTAGAAATGTAACTCATAAAGTTAGGTGCTAAAATGATTAGGGTGGAATCCAGTGATAGGTGGGTGTACTTCCCTTTCTCCTTCTTCTTGGAACCCCCAAATCGGGATCTTCCAGATTGCAGGTAGACAAAAATGGCCCCTCTGTTCCATTCACAGGTACTCCTCTTTGGATTCCAGCATTGGTTTTAAAAAATAGTCGTTTTTTTTTTTAAACTTCCAAGTGTAAGTCTATAGCCCTGGGATTTCTTTAACAGTTAAATAACAATTCGTTTTTAAAATACTAGTATTTACACTGGAAGGGTTTGAATAGAAGGTCTTTGGGGATTCCCAGAGTTGTAGGCTAGAGAGGGAAACTAGAAGAAAAAAATCCAGGAGGATGTTTTGCACTTCTGCACTGATGCAAAGGAAACTACAGGGATGTGCCCATATGTCTGACAAAGGAGACTTTACCTTTACTTCTTTTAAAGAAAAAAGGTAGAATGCTACACTGAATACCTTTCTTCCTTTGTTGGAAAAGCAGCTTAATGTCACTTTTGAAAAGCCAGGATTTTGAAAGCGAAGGCAGAATGTGGTTCAGGGTACGTTTCATTTTTCCCTGTCTTAGCAGGACAGACTCCCGTTCTCCCGGCAGCATTACTTACCTGCCTTCCTTCTTCACCAAACTGGAGAACACCTCGCCGATGGTGAAGTCTAAGAAGCAGGAGATATTTCGCAAGCTGAACTCATGCAGTGGAAGTGACTCCGAAATGGGTAGGGCTGTTTTTCCTCGTGTTTTTATTCTCTCCCCCGCCCCTTCCTTTCCAGAAATAGAGGCAGGTAGGGCTGCAGAGAAACTGCTGGTGTCTGCCAAGAGAATTGATATATTTGTGAATTAAAATCTCCTACATTCCCTCTATTACTCCCCAATTGAACGGCCTCCCTGGCGCTTCTCTGCATGAGTTGCTGTTCTTTTTCCCCTTACCAGTTGACTTTCACTGGAGGGGGATGCTTAGTATCCTTATGGGAGTGTGGCATCTGAGCGCCTCCTCTTCAAGAAGGCAGAACTTCCAGAGGGCGATTCTGAACTTTTCGTTGAAAATAAACTAATTG